AAACAATTTACAAGGAGAATTAACGTTAAAATAATAACTTTTATTATTATTATTTTTTTTAAAAAAACTTGTTTAATTTCTTTATAAAAAGATGCTTTCTTTTAATGTAAACAGTTCTTCAGTTATACAATAAAATAGTTGTTACAGCAGTATTGTTATATATAAATATATAAGTTTTTTTAAATTAAGCTTAGTATAAAAAAAGCACAGAAGAAAAAAAGTCAGTTGTTTGTTCTCAGATATCTCTCTCTGTAAGATCTATTTCTGACTTAGCTCCGGGCATCTCTACATTTTATTTGATGTATGGAAACAATTTTAATAAGTACGCGTATAGCAATTAAATATTTTATTTTATCTGAGGACAGGGGAAAAAAACAGTTTATGGAAATGTACTGTAGATAGAAAAGAGAAGGAAACAAAAGTATATATATACATAAAAACTTCAACAGGTATGGCAATCTTGCATAGGAACATGCAACTACTCAATCTACAACACATTCCTTTTGTGTCTGGATCGAGCTCTTCCACCACCACCGGTTCCTTTTTTATTTCTCTACGACTTTTTATAGCCTGTCTGTTGTTATGTGGGGCAGTTCCTTTCTGGGAAAACGACCGCTCTGCCTTTCTAGATAGAAAAATATAACCCCGCCAACTCTATTTTGGAATAGGATAGCTCTCGAGAATATTCACTTAGACGTTCCACCATTCTTCTTCCTCTTCTTTTTTTTCCCTTCTTCTTTGGAAAGTTTCTCTTGTTTCTTAATAAATTTCCTTTATTTCCTTAAATAACTGGATGATTTATAATTAAGTTTAACGTTTCTATTAACAATTATTTAAATGAAACGTTTCTCTCTCTCTCTTTTTTCCCCCTGTGTTACGGTTATGATATTCTTGTAACCGCATAAAAGAATTCGTTCTGTTTTATTTGGCACGAGGAGAGATGTTCAACGTAGATACAAGAATTTAGATACTTTATATTATAATTTAAGCAAAGTAACCGTATTTGGAACGTAATTAATTGTTAATAAAATGTTTTAAAATTCTGGTATCAAATTTTCTCTGATTCGATTCGTCAAGTTCGTTGATTAAATGGAATATTTTCTGCTGTTACCGGTAATTAATTGGTTTAAAATTTGCTTTAATGTCATTAAATATGTCAAGTTAGCATTTGCTTTTATTATATATTAATAAATTTATATGGAAATATAATATTTTTATACGTCTCTCGAAAGATTAATTTGACATTCTCTTAATGAATATTTGATGAGTAGTTTTTAAATTAATAAATTCATTATTATATATTTTTATTTAGTATATCAATTAGTTATTTAATTGTTTAAAATTTTTAAAATACTTTAATTAATTTTTTTATTTAATTAATGTCATTTTTTACGGTTGTCTTTTCAGTGAAACTTTCAAGTTAGGCAGTGAAACATAATTTACAGGCGCTCTAGTAAATTTTTAATGAAATTTTATATAAAAATTGAAAAATAAATAAATAAAATGTTAATGTTGTAACATCATATTTAAAATTTAGATAAGTTTATTAAAATTTACTTTTCTTTAAAAATGTATTTTGTAAAGATTTTAATCAAAACATAATCATTTTTGATAGGATTTAATAGCAACATATTACTGTGTTACACTCGAACGACATCAATCAATGTTTTTAAAATAGCAGCAATAATTTCGTTAATTCCTCTTAATATAATGTATTGTGCTCATCTTTTCTCTCTGGAGACAAATCATCTTTACTCAAATTACTGATACATAATGGATATGAATAATGCAGATATGACTCCAGTTGTGCTTTGGAGAAGTTTAAACAGAAGTTGTTTAATCATCTTACCGATAACATAAATGATTTGTTAGTATGTCTGGACGAAATTTTAAAAATATAACAACATTAATTTACTAAATGCATCCGTTTGATTGTCAAATCTTTTAATCCTTCCCATCTGTGATTTTTCCCAGAAGAACTAATTATAAATTGATGAGTTTAAATTCGAGGTTTAATATATTTTAATATTTAAAAAAAAATAAATATACTTATACGTATAATAAGCAATTGATCAGTATATTTTAATGAAAATAAATATATTTTATAGCTCTTCTCTCGGGTACTTTACGCACCTTTCAAGTTCATGCGTGCGATGGAGACGAATTAAGGATCGAATGCTTTCCAGATACAGTTATCAGCATCTATTTAGCACAATATGGCCGCAACGTGCCTTCATATCAGCTTTGTCCCCCAGAATTAGCGGGAGAAAGCTATTTCCTGGATAATGATACCACAAATTGTTTCGCTTCGGAAGCTCTCAGGGTAAGATAAAAGTTTTAGTCTACATTGGTGTTGATTTTCTATTAAAAGATAAATAGAATCGTTGATGTAATAAGAATAGAAGTTGAATGAATAAAATTTTGTATCAAAAACTCATAAATCTTCCTTAAATTAAATCATTTTTCTTCTTTCTTTATCCATAAAGTGGTTTTAGTATTGTTAAATGTTATACGAAACTTTACTAATTTGCACTTGGGGAAAAAATATATTATATATGTATTAAAGTAATTGGGTTTATTCTAGTGAATAATTAGCAAGGAAATTAATTTCAGTTTACTGTAAATTGTTCAACTTTTATAAGAAATTAACAAATAAATAAAGCTTTGTATTTACTTCACGCTCAAATCAACTTCGAATTCGTTTAGTTTGTTGTAAGTTTGCNTTTAACGTTATAGGATGGTTCAAAATAATTTTAATCTTATAAATTTAAATATATTTTAAATTATCTTACTTCATCTACTAATTGCATTTGTAATTGCATAATTTTCCTATTTTCTTGAGTTTTATTCCGTGTATAATGCTTCATTTTATATGCTTCTATTGATTTTCCTAGATTTGTATTCTATGATTCTTTCTTAACTCTACATTTGTTATTGCATGATGTCTTCATTCGTTAGGCTGAATTTTACTGCATAATTTTCCCTCATTTCAAGTTTCTATTGCACGATTTTCCCTCTTATCCCCAAGTTCTTCTTGCATGATTCTTTTTTTCTGTTTATATTGCTTCCCCCTCAAAATATTCATTGCATAATACTTTCATTCATTCCATTTTTTATTATTGCAAAAAATTCCCTTCATTCGTGATTTTTTATTCTACGATTCTGCATTCATTTCTTATTGTTTCTGCTGACATTTTTCTTTTCACATCATCTATTGCACGGTATCATCATTAACTCCATTATTAATTGCATAATTCTTTTTCATTAAATTCAATTTGATTAATTCCTTATGATATTTCTTATCTTTTAAACTGTATTGTATGTTTTCTCTACCCCAATTTCTATTGCATAACTTTCTATTTATTTCTTGCATTTTTAATCGAAAATTTTCCTTTATATCCGCGATTTCTTCTGCATAATTTCATTTATATTCTCGAATTCCCTGCCGCACAATTTAATATAATGCAATAGAAATTTAGAAATGTCAAAGAACTCTCGATAATTTCAACAGAATTTTTCTCTTTTGTATAAAAATTTATAATTGTGAGTTATCTCAATAAAAATTTCCGATTTAATGCGATTTTAATCCGCAAAAAATAAAAAAAATACAAATTATCATCTTAAAAAATGCCAATTTTTCTATTTTACAATAAAAATACAAGAGTTAAATTATCAAAATTGATAATAAAATCAGTAAATTCTAACTTTGGTACGTTAGCAACTAACTTTAAATTTANTGGATCGAGCTCTTCCACCACCACCGGTTCCTTTTTTATTTCTCTACGACTTTTTATAGCCTGTCTGTTGTTATGTGGGGCAGTTCCTTTCTGGGAAAACGACCGCTCTGCCTTTCTAGATAGAAAAATATAACCCCGCCAACTCTATTTTGGAATAGGATAGCTCTCGAGAATATTCACTTAGACGTTCCACCATTCTTCTTCCTCTTCTTTTTTTTCCCTTCTTCTTTGGAAAGTTTCTCTTGTTTCTTAATAAATTTCCTTTATTTCCTTAAATAACTGGATGATTTATAATTAAGTTTAACGTTTCTATTAACAATTATTTAAATGAAACGTTTCTCTCTCTCTCTTTTTTCCCCCTGTGTTACGGTTATGATATTCTTGTAACCGCATAAAAGAATTCGTTCTGTTTTATTTGGCACGAGGAGAGATGTTCAACGTAGATACAAGAATTTAGATACTTTATATTATAATTTAAGCAAAGTAACCGTATTTGGAACGTAATTAATTGTTAATAAAATGTTTTAAAATTCTGGTATCAAATTTTCTCTGATTCGATTCGTCAAGTTCGTTGATTAAATGGAATATTTTCTGCTGTTACCGGTAATTAATTGGTTTAAAATTTGCTTTAATGTCATTAAATATGTCAAGTTAGCATTTGCTTTTATTATATATTAATAAATTTATATGGAAATATAATATTTTTATACGTCTCTCGAAAGATTAATTTGACATTCTCTTAATGAATATTTGATGAGTAGTTTTTAAATTAATAAATTCATTATTATATATTTTTATTTAGTATATCAATTAGTTATTTAATTGTTTAAAATTTTTAAAATACTTTAATTAATTTTTTTATTTAATTAATGTCATTTTTTACGGTTGTCTTTTCAGTGAAACTTTCAAGTTAGGCAGTGAAACATAATTTACAGGCGCTCTAGTAAATTTTTAATGAAATTTTATATAAAAATTGAAAAATAAATAAATAAAATGTTAATGTTGTAACATCATATTTAAAATTTAGATAAGTTTATTAAAATTTACTTTTCTTTAAAAATGTATTTTGTAAAGATTTTAATCAAAACATAATCATTTTTGATAGGATTTAATAGCAACATATTACTGTGTTACACTCGAACGACATCAATCAATGTTTTTAAAATAGCAGCAATAATTTCGTTAATTCCTCTTAATATAATGTATTGTGCTCATCTTTTCTCTCTGGAGACAAATCATCTTTACTCAAATTACTGATACATAATGGATATGAATAATGCAGATATGACTCCAGTTGTGCTTTGGAGAAGTTTAAACAGAAGTTGTTTAATCATCTTACCGATAACATAAATGATTTGTTAGTATGTCTGGACGAAATTTTAAAAATATAACAACATTAATTTACTAAATGCATCCGTTTGATTGTCAAATCTTTTAATCCTTCCCATCTGTGATTTTTCCCAGAAGAACTAATTATAAATTGATGAGTTTAAATTCGAGGTTTAATATATTTTAATATTTAAAAAAAAATAAATATACTTATACGTATAATAAGCAATTGATCAGTATATTTTAATGAAAATAAATATATTTTATAGCTCTTCTCTCGGGTACTTTACGCACCTTTCAAGTTCATGCGTGCGATGGAGACGAATTAAGGATCGAATGCTTTCCAGATACAGTTATCAGCATCTATTTAGCACAATATGGCCGCAACGTGCCTTCATATCAGCTTTGTCCCCCAGAATTAGCGGGAGAAAGCTATTTCCTGGATAATGATACCACAAATTGTTTCGCTTCGGAAGCTCTCAGGGTAAGATAAAAGTTTTAGTCTACATTGGTGTTGATTTTCTATTAAAAGATAAATAGAATCGTTGATGTAATAAGAATAGAAGTTGAATGAATAAAATTTTGTATCAAAAACTCATAAATCTTCCTTAAATTAAATCATTTTTCTTCTTTCTTTATCCATAAAGTGGTTTTAGTATTGTTAAATGTTATACGAAACTTTACTAATTTGCACTTGGGGAAAAAATATATTATATATGTATTAAAGTAATTGGGTTTATTCTAGTGAATAATTAGCAAGGAAATTAATTTCAGTTTACTGTAAATTGTTCAACTTTTATAAGAAATTAACAAATAAATAAAGCTTTGTATTTACTTCACGCTCAAATCAACTTCGAATTCGTTTAGTTTGTTGTAAGTTTGCATTAGATAAAACATTCCAGCATTTAAGAAGCGCTGTGAGAATTTGGAATATCTTAAAGTTGGACTGAGAAATGGTGCGAAAGTAATTCTTTTATTTAAAAAAATCTTTTCTAAAGTACAAAAAAAGGGGAATTGTATCTTAAGATTCTTTTCAGATCTTCAATTGCTTTTATTCAATACATTTGCTTCTAAATTTTTTTTCCTATAACTTTCCCGACTTTTGTTAAAGTAAAGTAAGGTAAATAAGAAATAAATCTACTTTACTGTGCTTTAATTAAATTAAAATCTTATAAAGTTTTTTCTAAAATATATAAAAATCATTTTACTTTAGTTGTAGTTTAGTTTCCTCAATAAAAAAATCATGAAATAATATTAATTTTTAAATATTCTATTTACTTTATATTACCTCTAAACATTTTAATTAACATGAAAATTAAAAAAAAATTTGACACTTATTAGCTTAAAATTCACTTTGAAGGCATATTGAATAATGCTGACATCTTCTACAGTTAATTAAATAGTACATGCGCTTTAATTAATTTTTATATGCAAATGGTTAATGAATTGCTTTGTTCTGAATTGCAAATCGATGACTAATCACGTTATATTGATATCGTGATCGGCATGATATCATAGCAATCTAGTAATTATTAATGCTACTATGACTAACTTTTCGTCAATATGATTGATCTTTTCTCAATATATCCCAATGCTTCTTTAATAATACAAAATGCCTTTTATCTATATATATATTTATATTGTTAATTTTTATGTATTTATATGAGTTTGAGGTGAAAGAAATCTTTCACACGGATAATCTTGATGATCAGTATAGTATTCCTTCTTGCAGACAATTGAAGCTGCTTGCAGGGAACAACAAGTTTGCCAGTTGACGACGTCTCCAGAATCTTTTGGTAGCGACCCTTGTCCAGGTGTCAGGAAGTATGCTGAAGTAGCATTCAAATGCCGACCGAGTAAGTAAATCCAACACGTAACTTCGAATCGACTTTGAGTGAATACCAAGCAAAAAAAAAAATGGTTGTAAATTCATAATTTCTTGATAATATTGCTATTAATTTTATAATATAAATCTTTTGTATGATTGAAAAGCTTAAGATATGCATATAAACACATATGTTTCTGTAACTGACATCAAATGACACGCACATCACTATATTTTGTGTGCAATAAATGGTCAAAAATTAAGACTTATATATTAAAAAAAATGAAATTTTATTTTCTTATCAATTTTAATAACGTTTAAATTTAATTAAAATTTATTGTTCTGACTTTTTTTCTTTATTATAATACCGTTACAGTACATTTATACTTAAGTTCTTAACAACTGTAAAAGCACTCATCTTTTAATTTAACCTTTCAGAAATTTAAATATTGAATTTAATTTCATTTTTTTTTAAATTTCTATAAAATTTCCATTTATAAAATAATTAAAAAAAAGCAATTTTCACTAAAGAAATTAATGAGTTAAGACGTTTTAATTGAATCTGTCAATGATGATAGTATTTAGTGGAATAGTCAATAAAATCGTAATTTGTATGTAGTGTAAGTGATAGAAATTTAGTCACTTTACAGGTTTTTTTTATTGTCAAAAATCCTTATTATCTATTATTTAATTAGCTTCTTTTAATTGTTCTTCGTAACATAATTTCATTTTTGCATGTCACTAATCGAATCTGTGTGAAGACTTTCTAATTCCAACATTACACAATTGAATTTATCATGTTTAATAGTTCTTTCAAAATCGAATGTTTAATTTGTGCCTGTCACCAAGAGAATGTTTGCCTTCTTTTATATATTAAAGATAATTTATTTACACGTTTCCATTCTATATCAAATAGAAAATACATTGACTATTTTTGAANAATATATATTTAAAGGATTTATAAAATTTAATAAATATTCTTAAAAATTTTTTTAATTTTTTCGATGAAATTTTCATAAAATTTCATGTAAAAATGAAGGTTTACCATTGTAATTTTTCGATAAGGTAAAGTAATTCTTTATCATCTTAAAGAATAAGCTCATTTTATGAATGTGGAAACTCTAAACGGTTTGTTGGTTTTCAAAACATCCATTTATTCAGATATATATAAAGTACATACACATATATGTTTATCTTGTAAGTAGCCAGTGATTATATAATAAAATATATGGTAATAGCTTTAAATTTCAAAATTTAAATTCTAAAGCTATTTAATATTTAAGTTTACTCCATCTTTCATATGGATTTTAACTTTTTAAATAAAAATTTTTTTTTTAGAATTTTATTATCCTTTACTTAATCTTCGAGTGTTCTGAATTTTATTGCATAATTCCTCCTTGATTTTTTACTAATTATTTCATTATTTCTCTTTAATTTTTAGTGTTTTTGTTAATTTAAAATAACGTTTTTATTTGTTTTATAAGCTTTTATTTTATAAATTTTTTTCTTGTTTTGAATTTTTGTTGCATGTTCTATCGTTTATGTCATATTGTTGCATATTTCGATTGGAGTTTTGGTTGTTAAATTTTTAATTTCTGGTAAGAATTTAAGTGAAATTTTAAAGTTTTTAAAGTCATTCGTTAGAATAATGTTTTTATAAAAAGAGTTTTTACTATTTTTTAATTATTTTATATTATTTTTCCCTTAAAATCTGGTAGCAAAGCTGCAATTTCGTTCAAAGAATAATAGCTAAAAAATTCTATGTTATAGAATAAAAATGCATTAAACTTATTCTAAAAATAAACGTAGGCAAATAATAACTATTTTTTTTTTAACTTATTTATCTAGCAATTTACTAAATTTAAACGTGTTTAAAATATTAATATAATTATTAATTTACTTGAAAAATTTAACTTTTAAAAAATTCCGTTTTGGATTCCTTAATAAAAAGCCAGCTTCAATTAATCATAACTGCTACTTTGTGTTAAAGAAAAGTACAGATGTTCGATGACAGATTTTGAGAAGAACCTTATATGATGTTTATTAGGGAGAAACGGGACCTTCGGGATATTTAAAACTTTATGACACAAAGACATCTGCTGCTGTCTCGTTACCGAGAGCTTATCTGGACATGTAGTTGGCTTTTACAATCTTTTAGCGTACTTGAAACTTCCCAAATATCTCTTGGCATTTAAAGACTTCAGCTAAGATTTAGGAAAAGCTTCAAAGTATCTTCTAATTTTGTTCGTTTGCTTTTTTATCTTTTTTTTATACACTTGCAATGCGCTGGAACTTCAGCACGACGTGGTATAAATATATAAAGAGAATAACCACGTTTACCACGTTAAAAAAACATTTTATATTATTATTAAAGATAGATTTCAGTGTATTATTCGAGTGTGGAAAGTAGATTCGATACGAGAAAACAAATCTTATTTAAGGATTTGTCGATAGTTTTGTTTGAAAGTACGTTATTAGTTGACCATCCATAAAAATCTCTAAGCCCATATCAAAATAACAAAAGCAATCTAGTAACCAATACACCAGATGTACCAATCATCGATGTGGAAAAAAAATACCTGACTGTTTCACCTGTGCCACTTATTGACAGCATTTAAGTGGTATCGGTAACCTAGGCAACTCTTCAAAACTTTGATTGGGGGGGAACGATTGCTCTGTTAATGTTTAGCTAAATAAGGCGTACGAAGGAGAATACTTGCATACAAAAATTGTTATGGCATATTGTTTCTGCTTTAGTATCATTATATAGATGAGTTTATTCGTGTATTTAATTTATTAAAATTCGATAATTATTATGGTAATGATTCTATAGTCTTGTTGATGTTTCAATTCCTACGATGTATGAAACGTGGCACGTACTTTTAACGTCACGCAAAATTACGTGTTAAAATACTTGATTGGTAATTTCAAACTCTTTTTTTTCTTTATATTCGATGTTACCTGTAGATATATTTTCACGTAACAATTTTTTTTGTTATTTTTTATGAGATCAGGAATAAATTTATTTATATTTTTTAAATCATTTCTATATTATTGACTAGAAAATTACTGTTTATGNTGTGTAAATAGGAATAGAAATATTATATATTATTGAATTACACATTCTATTTATTTTATAAATAATTTTTATGTAAAATTTCAGGTACCTTCTATAACAAAATCGTATGTGAGGGAGATAGACTTCGTCTTCGATGTCACAAATCCTTGAGGATTGTTATTTATTCGGCTGCCTTTGGTGGAACACATTATGGAGTAGCAGAATGTCCTCAGCCAAAGGATTCAAAAAATCAAGGTGCCATATGTTTATCTTTATCTTAAAATAATCTTTAAAAAAAAAAGAAATTAATATTAACTTTCGTATTGGATGTCAAGTATTACAAGCTTCTCTTTCTCCATTCGTGAACGAATAAAGATACCTTTTAGGATAAGAAAACGTTAATTTAAAGACACTAAACTTCTATAAATTAGATATAAATAAATTAAAAAAAAACTATCCAGTAGTTAAATATTAAGAAAACATATATATAACCCTATAAAATTTGATATTTAAGACAGAAAGATGAAGTAAATTGATCTAAAGTTTGAGACTTTAAAGAATTTAAAACAAGTTTAACACAATGGAGTCTTTGTAATTTATTTTTTTATTACTCCACACTTGTTAAATGTCTTTTAATTGGTAGCAACGTAATAATACTCGAATAAACCGCGAGATTCTTTAGAAAACACTTCTTAAATTACCATCATTGGTTCTAGAGTATTTTTTTTTTCTGGAATTTTTTTTTTAATTTTTTGAAGTAAAGCATCTAGCTTATACAACGTGAAGAATGATTAAATGGCATATACAAAAGACAAACTTCTTTTATGTACAAACACGCTATTCATCTTGTCACGGCATTAACAATAAGACTTTGCAAGGAACAAACTGTCTGACACAAAACGCGTGTTCAATTTGTCCTTTACAATTCTCTAACACTTTAAATATATATATATAAAGCTAGACTTTAAAGATAAAACTATTGACTAACAGCATTGTATACCTTTTAATGCATTTTTTAAATGGAAGAAAATATTCTATGAATGGATTTTAATACCCAAAAAATTTTATGATGCTTACGAAGATTAAATATCTTTGATATCTTTTCATCTTCTAGACAATCTAAATCGTGTTGGTTCCTTTCTTAAGATTTCATTTTTTTTAAATAATTTAAATTATAAAATTTACTTTTATTTATTTTATATCTTATATTTTGCATCTGTTATAACGTTGAATGATATTTTTCTTCTATGTATTAAAGTAATTGGGTTTATTCTAGTGAATAATTAGCAAGGAAATTAATTTCAGTTTACTGTAAATTGTTCAACTTTTATAAGAAATTAACAAANATAAATTTAAAAAATTAAAGAAATTTTCCATCTTTTCTTCGGGATTTTCTTTACATCTTTATCCCTTTTTATTTATTTATTTATTTGCTTATCTTTACCCTTCCTCCCTCCTTATCCCTCCGCATCCTTTCTATAAAGAGAGGATGCGGAGGGATTTAATAAATAAAAAATGAATCATTCTTTTATAAAGTTTAGATTTTTAATTTATTGAAAATTCCTTTTATTTTACTTTATTTTTTTAATTTAATTAAAAAATTTACTTTTATTTATTTTATATCTTATATTTTGCATCTGTTATAACGTTGAATGATATTTTTCTTCAATTATCAATGTAATAACGCTTGATCATCAATAAAATTTAATTTACTAATTAAATTTTATTGATGATCGAGTCAATAATTTAATAAATTTTAATTAAATTCCTAATTTAAAATGGATATTATTTAAATAAAATTATATTAAATTTAGATTAAAATTTTTATTTTAATTTATTTGCTCCGATCAATAGTTTTTATCTCTTCTAACTTTTTGAATTTTTAGTCGATTTCTAAGCAATTTAATAAAATAATTTCATTAGATTTTGTAGCCTCTTTCATAAGGGGCCTTTTAATAAAGAGCTATTTAACATGGACGCATTTATAGGGGCCTTAAAGGCTCAGACGTCGAGTTTTTCGAGTCTCGGAAGGGCCCCACTGATAACGTTTTACCGAGGCCCCTCAAAACTTTCAGTCGGCCTTATTTGGACCTAATAAACCATCGTGCTTTTAAGAAAATCAAGATCTTGTATTAGATAATTACATTTTAAATTCAACAGTAACGATGAGTCAAATAGGAATGAACGTAAAATGATTCATGATTTGGAGCATTAAGATTAAATTCCACTTTAAAATTCCAATTGTCATTTACCATTTTAAGGTTCGAGTTCATCGAAGCGAATTGCATATTTGCACAGCAGTATTACACTTTGAATCGAAATCACTTAGCACGAAATAAACTTACAACTGTTCAGCATAAGTGTATAACAAAAGCTATTACTTACAGCTGACTGTCAAGTAAGTTATGCTACTGAAACTGTCATGAGCAGCTGTCATGGGAGAAGGAAATGTTCTATCGGAGCTGATGTTGGAACATTTGGAAATCCCAGTTGTCCTAAAGGCAACAGCCTCTTTCTAAAGGTGGTATATACATGCGGTAAGTAACCACCTGATTGATTCTCACGTTTTTATATACATTCAAACTCCACTATTATACTATAAAAAATTGATTAAAAATGTAATTCTTTAGTTCCTCGAGAGATATTAAAAGATTTAGATTTGGGAGGAAGCGAAGATGGTAAAGATCAGCCTGATGATAGTGATTACACGGGTTTTATTGAGGCACCACGTTACGTTCCAGTCACGCCAACGTCTGCAGATAGAGGTTTAGAGGACTCTAAATTTACTCCATCGTTTAAATATGTTCCGGGTAAGTCGATATTTAAATCAAAGTAACAATTTTAAATTGATTATTACGATACTTTAAAGGTATACGCGAGCTTCCTAGTTGATACAGTATATTCCTATACGAAATTCCTTATTCTACGTTTCGCTGAAAATATTTTATTCATTGGTTTACCGTGTACTAAAAAATCATGTCTGGAAAATAGGAATTTTAAGAGAGATTTATGTAAAAGTCTGTAAATTTTCCAACAGGATCTAATATTTTGAAAGTCGTATAAAAACTAGATTTGTCTTTTCTATTTTTTTTTATTTATTTTGAATAACTTTAGGTATTATGTGGATTAGTATAATATAAAAAATATATTATTGAATAAAGTAAAGGTCCTAGTATACTAATTAGAAGTCCATCTAAAGCAGTGGTTCTTAACCAGGGATCGGTGGACTTGGAAGAGTAAAAAATCAACTTAATTTTGTGTTATTGTGTTAAGAAAAAGCACGTATATCACTATATCATGTGTTTTTTTTAAATTTTAATACGTGTATTTCTATATAACTGGTTGTAATTTTATTTTATGCATTTAAAAACACTATTCCGAGAAGGGATCCATGGAAGAAAAAAGGTTAAGAACCCCTGATCTAAAGGGAAAAACGAGAATGAAACATAGAAATTGTGTTTATGAAAGTCATGGGTTCGGTTTCTATTCTGGTATTAACTTTTTGTTTGAATTTTTTTTTATTTTCTAAAGTTGTTTAGTCGTTTTGATCTGATAGTCTTCGACGATAAGGGTGTGGATTCGGATCCCACCCGACAAACTACTAAATATGTATTTTTGTCTTTGGATGGACTCGTAGTTAACACTAGGTTTTGGGTGGTCTTTATTTATTAATATATTCATATAAGTCATTGTAAATAAGTGACACCCTTCTGTTACTTGTTTACAACGACTTAAAGGATAACCCTTAGTATATTGACACGTCCACCCAAAGACCCAGACAAAAAAAGAATGTAAAATTTGGCATGTTATCGAAGAACGTAGGTGCTGATATCAAACAGTGATCTAACCCATTTATTACACCACTTACAGGGTCAAATTATATATTTTTCATTTAAAAAAAGTATACTAATAATAAACTAAGATTTAGTGATATTTTAATTATTCAACACACGAATATATTAATTAAAATGTTACAGACCTCGGCAGAGATGAAATCAGAACAACTCAAAAAACAGATATTCAAAGCGATGAGAACATCGAAGAGGAATTTCCAGACGTTAACTGTACCGTGGTCGATGACCAAAAAGTCATTGGGTTCCTGACAGAATGGATTTCCGCTTACAATTTTATCAAAGGTGAGAAGAATATTTATTAGATTTAATCATAGAGAGGAACTTGTTAGAAATAGCAAATCATTTTTCGTGTCTTGAAGATAATGTTACTGAATTATACATAATTAACGTATGTGAGCTTAACAGAATACAAAATAGCTAGTACTATGTTTGAAGAATAATAGTCATTGTGACGCAATTAAATTGTTTTTGAACTATTTATAATGACTCTAGGCATCACGTGTTAAATATAGATTAATAACGTTCCCTTACTTTATTTTTTTAATTAATAAATCATTTTAGTTTCTGTGTAAGATGATAGTTACTTTTGTTGAATATGGTCTAGTATCGATCTTCTATAAAAATATATTCGTTAGTTTAACAATTGATTAAGTAATTTAACTGGTGCGTTAAACAGTCCGTTACACAAATGACAATTACCTAACCGATCGGTTAATTAACTGACGTTTTCTTAGAGTCTGATTGATTTAATACTTAATTACATTTCCCATGTAAAATTGCAATTAATATGGAAATCAATTGGGAAAAGATATAATATGCTAAATGCGTTAAGTATATATAAAAGTTATACATGGTACAGGTGTACATATTTACACGAAATCTTTATCAGATAAGTATATATCTGTGAAATGTGTGTGGTGTATATAAGAGGTTTTCGTCACATATACATAAGACATACAAAGGATATATAAGACAGGTATTAGAATACATATAAATATAAAGTATATAATATATACTTTAATATATTAATATAATATATAATATAATTAATATAATAATATGAATATAAAGTATATAATATATACTTTATATTCATATGTATTCCTATATCTGTCTTGTACATCCTTATAAATGCATATCTCCTATAATATAGCAGATATGCATTATGTATAATGTATATTTATTTACCTGAAATTCTCGTAAAAGTATACACCAATAAGTATATGATTTTTCCAACGACCCTCCCCTAATTAACCCTTGACCCTTTCAAAATTCCATTATTCTCAGGGTAGTCTAATCGTCCCAGTTGTGAATCCCTGATATACAGGTTTGTAATATAATTTAATTGACATGTGTATATAAAATTCAAATGCATTAATTATAATAATTTAATTAATACAGTAATTTGAAGATATTTTAACGTAAAATGTTAATATAAACACCACCCATCTGATATTTATAGAAATTACATAAAAACATTTTTTTTTAAAGTATAATATTGATTTAATTTTTTTAAATTACGTCTTTAAATGTTTAAAAGGAAGCCGAAAATATTTATATTTTTATAAAAGGATTTTGCCTTTCAGAAATCTTTGATGTATTTGAAAGGGTCACATACAACTCTAATCCTTTTTCATCCCTTTTTTTTCGTCCTAACGAAACAGGAGGCACGTGACATCATTTCATTTCATCAACACTCACAAAAAAATCGTTGATCTCCAATGACAAATATATTTTTTCTTTCTTGAATTTTTAAATATTTTTAATAACAAACACCTAAAAGAACAATTTTTTTTTAAATTTAAAGTGGTTATAAACACATTTATAACAGTTTAAATTTTACATATGAAATATTTATGAATACAGGAGAATATTTATGGACACTTTAATCAATTTTCCTAAATTATAAAATATAGTAATGAAACTTTAATTAATTTCCATTCATTTTACAACAAAATATTAATTAAAAATATAATTTTTATATATTCCTAATCTTAAAAAGAAATTAAGAAAAATTCATTGGTGACTTTTGAGCTATTGTTTTGTACTATGTATTGTTTGAGCTATTGTTTTGTTTTTATATAAAATAATAATTAATGAATTCTTATTTATTTATTTATTTTTCTTTTATAGAAAATAAGGAGAAATTCATTCTGTACTTGACGTTAAGTTTGGGAGCCGGTCTGTTAACGTTTATGGTGGTTCTAGCAGTTAGACTATATATCTTGAAGCGAAAAGAACGCAAACGAGCAAATCTTAACATTACTGATACAATTCCAACTGCATTTGGGGAAGATGGTTCTGATTTAGATCATTTCGACACCTCCGATCGACCCGATAATGGTGTCGACGTCATCAGATATGGGACCAACAGGTCAACAATGAGAAGACAAGATAGCGATACCTATCCAAGAGCTCCTATGGGAAGGAGTCTCAATAACTATTACTATAGTTAGTGAGATGTGGACAAAATCTAATTGTATCGAGTACAACAAAACTGGTCATATCAGTACAACATAAGTCCCATTATGTACATGTGTATTATAGAAATTGTGATCTATGACTTGATCCTGACCCTGATGGATATGCTATTTAGATGACCTATGTTCTGAAGATTTGATCGTTTATCTCCAGTCATTGAGGTATGCAGTATTCATTAAAAAATTCCGGTGGAATTTGAGTCATTGTTGATACTGATGATGATGATGATGATGAAGACAACTAATATAAGTCAAGATCTATTGGTTGTTTTTACTATGTGCTTCTGTGCTTCAGTCAGGAACTACATGGTTGTTTCGTTTATAAAACACGTTTCCTATCCTGAGTGTTTGTGCACTGTAGCAGTTTATATTCAGTGTCTTCCTGATTCATATCAAATTACTAAAGCTCAATTTTTTAAATAATGACCAATTATACACAAATAAAAAAATTTTGTAAATTTGTTTTCTTTGTGCAATAACATTTTCTTAAATTAAACCATGATGAAAATGGTAGAGAAAAAAAATTTGATTGATATTTGAAAAACCCAATTCGTATTATGAACTGAGTGTATAGAAGAATAAAGTTCTTACAGTCATTACAACTGTTGTATATAGTTACTCATTTTATTGTAAGGCCTCAACATTTTTCGGAGTGATAACACTGTTACTTGTATTAATTCAGTAACATCTGCCAATACATAGTACCTTATATATATATTGTACAAGCTGCTACTGTGCACAACCGCTGTATACAGAACTGGAAGCCCATAAGTACAGTATTGAAAAAAAAACAATATTTCATTTAGGAAAGACTGTATTGTATGTACATTTGTTGTTGTTGTTATTGTCGAAATTTTTTTATTTGTTATTTTTTTATTTGCGTTCTCACATTCAAGAATGCATTGAAGTAGTGGATTTTGTTTTATTTTTTTTCTTTGTTGTTTCGAAATTCTTTTATACAGAAAACCATGTGACAACCAAGCATATCGAAGCATATCTTTAGAAAAATGTGTACTTATATATATATAGATTAGTGGTTCTTCACTATTTGAATGGCCAGTATCGATTTAATGAATCGAGTCACGTTAAAAAGGAATAAAAATATTTAATTATTACAATCATCATTTATAAGATATTTACTTTATTTTCGTATTGTTTGAATTGCCTCGAATTATTAAATCAGTACTGGTCCAGAACCACATTATATTCTCACGTAACTTTCCAAACATCATGTAGAAATATTCTCACCAGTAGTTTTATGTTAAGAAATCTTTGTCATACAAATCACTTTTAATATAATTTATATGGAAAATTGTGTAAACATGAAGATATTTAGTTTGTAAAATCCCAAATGATCCTTCTATTCCCAAAAATTTAATGGGAAGATAAGTTTGATAACGAATCCAGTTGCGTGTGTTTCCATCATAACCGGAACAAAACTCCTGTTAATTACGGAAATTTAATTGTCAAGAATATCGTATTTTATTTATTACAAAAATGGATAAAGAGAATTAAAAGTTTGTTTTATCAAATTTATTTTTTAAAAAGTAAACTACCTTTAAAATTTGGAGAAGGGAGGAAAAAAACAAAAATTGATTCATTTGACTACAGCATCCAAAATGGTGAAATATTTAGTAAATATTCGTTTGATCTCTGCAATTTCAATATATAATTGATGTTGTTTATTCTCGATTCTTTTAAGTATGCTCGACTTTACATATAATACATAAATGAAAACGAACTCTCTACAATTTCCGTTATAAAGAGGATCGTTGTTGTGGAAACGTTCGCATCAGTTCGATTGATAAATTGGCAAAAAAACAACACATATCTTCCTTCATCCACCATTTTTTAAGCCCTAGAATATTATAAAGGTGACTTTTTGTAACTGATTTCAGTACAAGAATGTCTTCTTAATAAAACAAAAACATGTAACATAGTATTGTGTGGTTTATGAAACGTTAAACCAATTAATAATCAAAGTATAAAAACAATAATAATTTTCTACTCTTAATTACGAAATTTATTCAATTTAAACAAGTTCTTTAATTAACTTATATATATTATCGCGAATAAAAATTATTGTATAAAATAAATATTATTAATTTCACTCGATAATACGTTTTATATTAAGATAAAAAGAAAGTAACAATTTACTTTATTCTCAAGAGAACAAATGAATATTTCGAATTGAATTAAAAATAGAGAAATTTAAAATTCCCTCGAAACAATATTTTTAAAGATCATTTATATTTATTTAACTTAAAAGATTATATTTTGTTTAATAAATGTTGACGAAAATAATTGGTTTTAGTTGCAATTAGTACAAATGGATTTTTAAAATTATTAATGATTCGTCTTAATAACAAGAGACATTTGCAATTCGTTTCATTAAGAAACTATCCCATGGTAAATGTGAAAAATTAATGATTTGTATAATTTGTATATTAAAATTAACACCTTAGAAAACACATTTGCTAATGGTATTATTATTTTACTTAAAAGTTTCTTTTAAGAACTGCGAAACGTAAAGGAGAAAAAAAAAACACAAGAAAAAAATAATAGTAATCAAATTTTATAATTTGAAATTATTATTATTAAACAGTTAATCGTATTAAATGTAATTAATGGAAATGATATCAACTAAAATGCAAATGAAGTAAGCAGCATTTTCAAATTAGTAACAATTTAAGGCATCATCCTCTTGATCACCTATCAACTAAAGAAGATAAAAACGAAGAAAAGTAATTAAATTAACTAAAATGGTAGCTTGTTAACATTGATAATTAACTAACTGGATTTTCCTTTTGAAAAATACAATTTTTTTTTGTTTTTTTTGAAAATAATGTAAATTAAACGTTAGACGAATTAAACGAGTTTTTATCTTCTCTTCTCATTTACGAGTTTTGCCATACATCTTATAGTTTTCATATGAATTTTCATTAAATTTTTATTGTTTTTTAAATGTAATGTAAAGATTTTCTGGATTTAGAAATTTCCTGAAGTTTTTCTGAGTTTATTTATGTAGACGAATAACTAATCCTCCTCGTAGACCAGATGACCAGGGTGGTTTTTATTTTATCTGATACATACTCTTCGACTTATCCTGTTTGTTTGACCCTACAACTAGCAAAGCTCGATAATTCGTAGGTGTTGCAAGTAACACCATTACAGTCCTTGGTCACAATTACTAGGACAGTACTGGAAGAAGGAGGTTCGGTATTACCCAATTGATGTATGGTGAAATGTATGTAAGAATAGAGGAACAGGAAAATTATCCAGGTTTAGAAGATGAAAAATTATGAATTATTTTGAAAAAGAGGACAATACAGCTGTGTTTGAATAGAGGGAGATATTTTTAAAGTCAAACTAACGTCCTCCATATGTATCCAAAAAAGAGGACATGTTTTTATTTTGAAAGACATGTCCTCCTTTTGTATACTGTATCATATGGTTAAACCTAACATAACTTTATTATTGAAATAGGAATTATACATATTAAAATAAATTAAAAGATAATAACCGAAGGCAATATTCTTAATTTGAAAGGAAAAAATTCATGTCAATATGAAAACAACTCTGTATATTTTTTCCTAGAGCGACTTATTCCCAATTGAATTTACTTTCACTCGATACGTGAATTATAATTTACTTATATACACAGTACGATATAAAGATGTAGTAAATAATAAAATATTCATGTATTAACTTTGAACGAAAATAACGAAGAAAAAGAGAAATAAAAATCGATTAAATTTGTTAAAGAAGTAAAATAAATTGAAGAAAATAAATTTATAAATAAATTTTTAATATTTTCCTCATTTCCAATGAATTTTTCAACTTTTATAAGTAAACAAAATTATAATTTACCACTTTAAAAACTACAAAATCACTAAAATTAAGATTTAAAATATTTAAAAATACAATTTTTTTTTCATAAAAAATATCTCGTCATAAAATAAATTTAGACTATATTAAACTTTCAATACACAATTTAAAGTTTTTCAAGTGAAATTTATTTTAAAATAAAATAAAATTTGTTTTTGATAATATACAAAAGCAAGAGAACGAAATGGGTTGTGTCAGGTGTTCTATTGATAAAAGGAGAGAGAAAAATAATCTTGATTGAAACTAATGAAACGATGTTTGGTTATAATCTTTCCTTCAGATTGTTGGCTTAATTAAGTCAACCATATGTTTTTCTTGAAGATGAAATCTTGATGAGATCCAACTTGTTTTTCGTTGATTCACTAAACTGACTTTCGATAATATTTACTTACATTTAACGATTGATTAATTCTATATATTTACAAATATTCCAAAAAAATAAATGTTATATGGAAATTTCATATATCTAGTCTCGGTTTTCACTCCATTCTCGAGATTAACGAAGGATAGACAGACGGACGGACGTAGTAAAGGTTTGCAATCTGAACGTTGCAGCCTAATAAACAGTTTCAAGGTTTTAATGGAAAACATTTTAGTAAAATTATGACATTAATAATTGTAGAATTTTTTTTTTTACATAATTAGAAGAAAATTTCGTAAAATATTGTAGGTTTTTTTGTACTTTTTATGATGAATTTACTTAATTGTGTAAACGTAAATTCCTTTCTTTACTCTTCTCATAAAAGTACAATAAAGTTTTTTAAGAATGTTTGCAATGTGAAACTTTTACTGTATCGTTTCTTTTTTTTACTGTAAACTTTCTTCCTTTTTTTAATATATTTATCATTGTTTACTGTATAATTTCCATTCTTTATCGTAATCTGATGAATAAGAAAAGGTAGAAGGCGAATGCATTAAGAAAAAAGCGAAAGATATAATAAAAACTGGAAAAATTTACTGTAAAGAATGGAGTGGTACTGTTTATCAGCATAATACAAGTAAAAAGTGAATGTAAATGTATAGATATAAGATTTTATAGAGAGGCATATAATAAAATTTTATAAGTTAAAGAAAAAATAATAGATACGATAAAGACATAAAAAAACATGAAAAAGTTTTTAGATGAATATTTTATAGTTAAGTACGAATCTTATAAAATAAGAAATATACTTTCATCATAGATCACACTAAATCATGTTTTTTAAATGTATTTTAAATAACTAATTCACGTTATAAAGAGCAGATTTGTATCTGGTCATTAATATTTTGTAAAATATGTTTAAAAAAAAACTTTGAGCTGTTAGCATCCTTAATCACTACAAAGAGCTAGAGATATTTCAAAAATGGCTTCGGGTGAAATTTCTCTAGTCTCTTGTAATAGGACCCCGAAGTATATTTTATATATACATTTTAAAAACTAAATGAATAACGTAGCATAAAATAAAATGCGTGTTGAAGTATGCTTTCATATCTTGTTATTTGATAAGAAGTTGTAACATCTTTATGAGGGCATTAGTGACCATGTTTGCCTGGAGACAGATCGACTTCAAATCTTCTACATTAATAGCAGAGATTTGAATCCATTAATAGTGACTTTATTACCTTCACCCACTAAAATAACACAGAGCATTAAATTATGGGATTGGCAATAATGGCATATTCGACAGTAAAATCAACCATTCAATCGAATTATGATGAGTAATAATTCTTATTGAAGAAGTAGGTTTGTTACAACATTTTTATCAACTGAGTGCAAATGATCGTAATCAAGAGAGGTTTTTTTTTTCTTTTTTCCTTTTTTGCTAGTGATTAAAGCCGAGAAAAATATATATATTTTTTTATAATTTAATAGCTATAACTGATTATATCTTAGAGAAAAATCATAAGTGTTGGTAATTATGAAAGTGAGAGAGAGAGTTGATGCAAAACTAAATCTTTATTACCATTAATTTCTTCGGGGTTTTTTTTTTAAATTAATTAATTAATTTTAATGAAGAAAAGAATAATATGAAATATTTATAATTATTTAAGCTTAAAATTATTAAATTATTTACAATTTTTTTTTAGTAAACTTTATCTAAAAGAAAGTGGAAGTAGTAATTATAAATGAAGAGTGTCGCGAATATTATTGGAAGAAAGTGAATTAAAGTTTCTTTGTTCTTATGAAATTACAACATTTTCTATGTTCTGAAACATTAGAAAATGTCTCGTGGTATAAGATATCGAAAAGAAATGCTTTGGAAATTCCATTCCACGTTTGTTTTAAAATAACTCTTTCGTTTTCTCTTCTCATCAACATAACAGAGAAGGATAGCATGATTTTTTATTATTCTTTTTATTCAGATTTAGAAAAAAAAGTTTTGTTTGGCAAGAATTTGTTTTGAAACTACTTTTCATCCAGAGAATTTATTTTAGTATTTAATAGAAAGAAGTATATTTCTAAAAATTTGGAAACAAGCCAGTCCATTACAGTAAGATTACAGTTAAAGAATGATAAAGTGAAATTAATTATTAGCGAGTTGTATATATGAATGTATTCATTGACCAAATAACTGTAATACTAACTCATAAAACATTTCAATATATTATTTTATAATTGTTTCTATAGAATAGTGAGTAATACTTGTTGAAAAGTAAGCAGAAATGCGAAGTACATCAGATTACACGCTTATTCTTAAAACAAAAAAGTTTTTTCAGGTGTATTTACCTAAAGAATCGCTCTTCTTAGTTCAGTCTAAATTCTTCAGTGACAACGGAGACAAATGAGGTCAAAAGGACAAAGATTATAACGTCATCACATCGAATATACACGGCAAAGGACGGAAGAGTGTGCTTTTCTAAGAAAATCTCTGCTAGCATCTAAATTTAGTCAACTACGCCAAACATGTAGAGGAGGTTGATGGAATTCGGAGATTCCTCATTCTTACCCCCAATAAGCCATTTGTGAAACACCTAACCTTTGTTTCTTTCTCGGGAATTCTACCAATCTGAAGTAAAAATGAATGGAAAAGTAAGAAGCGTCTTGTTATTTTGGCAACCATTTCAAA